ATTGATATTATCATTATTATTATTATTGTTGTTGTTGCTGTTGTTGTTGTTTTAACTGAAAAAATGCAGCATCTATTTCAGTTTCAGTCTTCATAATTTAACTTATAATCTAGATTTTTAATATCTGCTAGATCTAGAACTGTCACTTCGGTCATCGTTTTCTCAATTCTTCATAAATCTGTGTTGTACTTTAACTACAAGCGGACGAGGAACACGTGAACCACTGAAGAAGAAGAGAAGGGAAGAGAAAATTAACTGCAATAACGGCATTTCTGCTCTTGACTCTCTGTTGGACAGAAAAGCGGTTCCTTTAGCTACTTTTAGCAGATTTTATTTCTATTATAGACCTAGCGGTTATCCTTTGACAAAAATCTGGACGAAGTTGAACTCTCCACATTATCACTTCATTCTTTCCCACGAGGTTCCAAAATGGCGGCAGGCAGAACGGAGGGAGAAGGGCGGAAAAATCGTGATAGTGAATCAACTATGGACGACGAACATGAAGTCCAGGAAGAGGAGCCACCTTTCAGTGACCCAGAAGACTTTGTTGATGATGTGACTGATGAAGGTGAGTCTTTTCATAAGGATAATCGCATTTTGCAGCCCCCTCGGTTTGCCGGTTGACGTTGTAACCTGTAACCTCTGCCTCTTCCAACTGGCCCACCGGTGTCCCATCTGGTGTAACTTTGAGAGCGGAAATGTTTTGGCAGTGGACCTTATTGTGTGTATGAAATGCAGTTATTTTTAATTCTGTGACAGGACTTAATTGTCAAATGATATAGATAAAGTAGCCAACAGAGAAGATCATATGTTGTTACTTTAGCCGTGCCTAGCCTTGCCTTAGTTAGAAATCTAGATCTAGATCTAGATCTAGATCTAGTTAGAATGGGAATGGGAAGATACAGGATGATAGGCAGGCAATAATCAATGACATCATGTCATATCCAAACTAGATCTAGATCTAGATCTAGGCCAATTTCGTCACATGTGATTCTCTTTCACTCTGGAGTTTGTAGATTTAAATAGAGGCTGAGATAAACCTCTATCTGCTCATGATAAACCCCTGTCTGCTCACAACTAATTGAATTTCAATTGTTTGTTTGGAGGACTTCTGCGTCTGTGAACTCTGCCCTAACACTAACGGTAACGAGTGACCACCTATGACTATGAGAGACAGTAGATCAGTAGAACAGAGGCTTTGGGGCACTCCTTGGATATGGTGGTCCTGACTTTTGTGTAGGCCTACTGGATATCGATACTGGGTGAGATTGAAGAATACCGGACCAGCGGACTGACTTTGCCGACTTTGCCTAGGTCTCAACCTTGCCTTAGGATTTCATCATTTTCCCATTTTTATTATTTCTCAATGGAGAATCTCGGACCGGGAGATCTATTCATTAAAATTATGTCAGGGGAGACCCCCCTGAACCCCCTCCTCCACCCCAACCACCCGCCCCACCTACCCCACTTTCTCGCTCAATAATGCACGAGTGGTCCGGTTTTCTTCAATCTTCCCTTGCCGCTCAATACTGATTTAGTCAGTATCAATGTTTCATGTTTTATCATTTCCTACAAATAAAACAAGCAGTAAAATTTAACTTGTTTTTTAACAAGGCAAAGGGGGTTTCAGGGAGGCTAAAAAAACAACATTGGGTGCTGAATTTGGCTACAAATATATGTTTTGCAATTTGAATCTAGATCTAGATCTTGGTTAGATAGGCTATCTCTCCATATCGGCACGCACATCAAAAAGTAATCGTTTAGAACAAGAATTAATTGTCAGTGGGGTCAAAACTAGATTCTAGATTTTCTCCAGGTTATTTCCCTGTCACCAAAGTCGGGACCACCATATACAAGGAGTGCCGGCTTTGGGGTAGGGTTAGGTCTCTTCTGAATTGTTTGTTTGGTTATGTTGCCTAATAAGACCATGATTCAATTGCCATGATCAAATGTGGGTTAATTTTTTATTTTACCTTCACTTCCACACACAGGTACATGAAGCTGCAGCGAGCACCTAGCATACCTCTGATTGGCCCAAATATAGATGACGTATTTCAGCCATCTATTTTTGTCACCTTCCAGGGCTTCCCTCGCCAGTTGACTAGATCTTACCGTGGCGGGCCCGCTTTGCCGTTAAGCGTGCGATGGGCTATGTAACCAGTTCTAGGTTTCATCGCCAACTGCTTGGGCTGTGTGTGTGCCCGTGTATGTGTGTGCCTGCGCTTGTGTGTGTGCACGCACGCGCTTGTGTGGAGGGGGATTGTTTATAAAAGATAACACAAATTAATTTTTTTTTAACAAACACGGTGAACTCTAGTCTAGTCAACAGTAACTGGCGAGGGAAACCCAGGAAGACGACAAAAATAGATGGCGCAATATGTCACTTAGCCTAGATCTATATTTGGCTGTCCCCGTGGTTTTATGCACCCTGCATAATTTAGCAAAATTTGATAATTTTTTGGGCATAATTTATTATTTTCCTTCATCATTCTTTGTTAAAATAACAATCGCATAATTTTCTTCTTTTTTTTTTTGGTGCATAAGTGATCACTGTAGCTTTATATCACACAGATGCACTGCTTTGAGGGTCCAACTGCAGTATTTTTTGCTGCAGATCACATATAGATCTAGTCACTAAAACTGTCTCTAGGTTCTAATCAATTATTTACAAGAAAATTTTGAACCCAGCTGCAAAACATCAAATTATGAGTTAAAACAGGGGCTTAGGCCTACTTACTGTGATGTTCCATTATAAATATAAACCTTATAAACCATCTAATATTTTTGAAAACTATTAGGATGAAGTCGATATTTGTGCTCAGCTCATCAATATGTGTAGGCCTAGTAGAAAATAGACACGTAGTAAGTAGCTAAATGTAAAACGGGGGAGGGGAGGGGTAAAAGAACTCCTAGATATGGATGATTAAGGCGCGTGGTGACTCAAACTCTAGATTGTGTCTGTTTTGACATGCTGTTGTGAAGTTTTCTTTCATCTTGATTTTGCCTCTATGCCTACGTAACAGGGCCTACAGACACTTCTCACTACTAAAGTAGCCTACGTGGGTGGTTGGCGGGTGCTCTGGTGTGGTTTGCTCCTTCTTTCCTATAAAAAAAATCTATTGTCTCTATCTCCCCTCCTTTTTTGTGTTTGTTACTCTCTTGTAACACCTCTGATCTTTGGCCCTTATAATTTATATGACCTTATATTGTGTTGCCAGTGCCGTAAAACTCTTACTAAAACTAAAAAGAAGTAGCCTACTGAAGGCTGAAGACTAACTAATATGAAAGTTTCTGTTGCACAAGATTTAAAATGTTGGATCATATTATTAGTATGCAAGGGCTACATTTAAACACTTTAAAATTTCTTTTTCATCTGTCAGAGCTGTTGTCAGACATTCTGCGTAAAAAGCCAAAACCCTCGGACAGTGTTGACTCCGTGATCATTGTGGATTGCATCCCTAAAGTTGGAAAAGATCGTCTTGAGAAACTGAAAAATGTCATCAAGAAGCTGTTTTCGAAATTTGGAAGTATCGTGGAGATGTATTACCCAGTTGATGAAGAAGGCACCACAAAAGGGTAAGTATGGGTCAGGGTTTTTTTTGTTTTTTTTCCGTTGTAATTTTTAATTTAGCCTACGCAAAATTTTTAATGTTTTCATAGTCAGCACAAAAGAGTGGTATGTTTGGAGGGGGAACGGGATGCTCTGGTGAAGTGTAGAATATAGAGACACTTACTAAAATAATCTTTCATTGTTCTGTTTTATTTCATGTTGATGCATTTTAGGCTTGTCTGGAGGTGTAAAATTGGAAGACTGAGTTGAGGTGGGGTGAGATTAGAAAGACAATTTAAAAGCTCTGAATTTCTTTGGGGAAGGTTAGTGTTTTCAGTGACTAACAAGTGAGCTTTATTATTCTAACACTTCCAAGGATTAAACTAGCTATGCAAAGAAAATGTCTGAGGTCTGAAAGATCTCACAACTTTATAATTCTTAATCGCTCAAATGTGATTCAAAATTGACAGAGGTCTTTAGGTCATAGTGTGGTCAAACCAGGTACGTGGATTTTAATGATGCTGTGTGAGGTTGGAGTTGATTTGCTGATTTGACGCTCCATGCGGTCGTTCTCTACATGTTTTAGGAATTTATACCCATAGGAATTCAAGAGCAACGATACTTCGGAACTTGCTGTTTGATAGCAAGTACTGCACTATTTTCATTTATCGTAAATATCGTAACACATGGGTTTGTTTTTGTGTGTTTTTCCAGGTACATGTTTCTGGAGTTCTCGTCCCCACAAAACGCCCACGAAGCTGTGAAAATGACGAATGGCTACAAACTGGACAAGCAGCACGTCTTCAAAGTGAACCACTTCTCCGATTTTGAAAAGTAAGTCAGTTCAGTTTTGACTTTCTGTGATACTTTGTGTGATGATTGCTTTATAAATCATTAAATGTCATCTGCCTCTGTCAACATTAAGAGCTTCGCTCCACATAATGCCACCGTCTTTCTCTACTTTTGCTGATTCCAACAAAGTCTTGAATACAGCTTAGTTTTCTGTTGCTGAACTTCTTAAAGAAAAGTTGTGTAGTAGTGATAATTTGCCTATGTTCTTGTTTGTCATAAGTCGGTCAGTTAAGGTCGCTGTGTAATTGATTGCTGTGATATTTCTTCATATTTTTATGAGTGTTTTATAATTTTGGCTCAGAATGCAATATATTTTGCATTGTTATAGTTCAGGGTACAGAATAGAATCTGAGAAGTAAAATGTTTTCTTAACTAACTAGTTGCATGTTCTGCCATTTTTCTTCAGAGAAGTTTGAAGGAAGAGTTTTTTGTCAGCGGAATCATTTTAAAGTAGTCATTTCGAAATTTGATTTCTAATTTATTTAAAAACATGTCACAGATTCAATTTGATTTTTTCAGACAAGTAGGCTTTTGATGGTTCCAAAATTTAAAAAGGCGTTTTTGTCAGCTTACGGCAGTATTGGTCTGTACCTTTTTATGGAGTTCCCTGATTCAAGGGGGTTAAAACCAATAAAACATTTCTTTTCAGATACACTGATATCCCCGACGAGTGGGAACCCCCAGATCCCAAACCTTACGAAGATTTAGTAAGTTTGATTTTTTATTGTTAATCTTAGATGAATTTCTTGTGAAAGTGTTTGTTGTCTTTATCTGATCGAAGAACAGCTCTTGTCTTTTTTTCCCTTTTGGGACTGTTCATTTTTATTCGTGTTTGATTTTTGCTGGTCATGCATTTTGCACCCTCTTATAAGTTCTTAGTTTGAGTCCTGATTCCATTTTACAATTTCAATTCATTAGATGCAATACTGAATTTACTTTTGACGTCAAATGGCTTTTTGTGCTTTCCTAGTTTTAATTTGTGAAATAGTTACTTAATAATTTTCAACAGTATATCTTGCATTAACAATTGTCCACCTTGGAGTCGAGTAGTGAGTTATATTTACTTTTTCACTTCAGGGCAATTTGAGAAGCTTCCTCCAGAACAAGGACTGCTACGACCAGTTTAGCGTCATATACGGGGAAGGGGAGAAGACGGCCATTTTCTTGAACAGCCTGGAGCCCTCGAAGGTGGAAGAGCGAGCTGTAAGTATGAGTCACTGCAGAATGTGTTGTGTCCGGCCGTGTTAAATACTTCAGAATTTTTGAAGGTTATGTTTTGTTTTGTTTTTTTTAATTGTCTCTTCCTTTAGTTCAAAGTGTCTTTTGGCTAAGGTGCTGTGGGAGAAGTCAGTACTATTTATGGCTCATTGAATGGAGCTCTGTGCTAAGTATAACCGTGGCATTTCGTTTTGAATGAAAAAGAATATTCCCTACTACTGTAACTAGCCTTACTGTTTCTGGAAAAGACACTTGTCTGGGTGAATGAAGTCAAACTTATTACAGCTTTTTCAAAATACCCTTTCAAAGGAAAATGTCGTGGGGGTCTATAACTTGGATATGGTACCAATGCTGTACTGGTGTGGTTGGTTTTTTCCTTTAGTTTGTTTTATTTGTCCATTGTGCTGAATTGATTTGGGAAAGTTGAGGTTATGATCTAAAGTTGTGTTTTATTTTTCTTGTCTGTCAGAGATGGACGGAGACGTACGTGCGCTGGTCGCCACAGGGGACGTACCTGGCTACGTTTCACCAGAAGGGTATAGCCCTGTGGGGAGGCCCCAAGTTCTCGCAGATACAGAGGTTCGGGCACACCGGGGTACAGCTCATCGACTTCTCTCCGTGTGAAAAGTAAGTGTTTTCTGCTTGCTCCTTACAGCGGTTACTGCTGACACAGAATGTTTTTGGTTGTTTTTGCTACTTTTGGAAAACTGAAAATACGGAAGTACAGTCGAAATGGTCTTAGGAGGCCACCCATTGTTGAGAGGAAAAGAGTTGGTCTTATGGTGTCATTGTCATGAAGGGGGGGGAAAAACCCAACACAATTGAGGGGATGGGGTAATGCCGTAATGGGAAGTGGCCGTTACCATAGGGGTGATCATTTCAAACACGAAGGTAAGAGCAGGTTTGACAGTACTGACTTGTTTGAAAAACTTTTTGCTTGTATGTGATGATAACATTGACACCTCTTGTCTGATAAATGCGATGAGGATTCTTTTTAAAAAATCTAATATGAGCAGAAAGTTGACTTGTGTTTAGTATCCGTTTATGCGTTGTTTGAAGAATGTGATCCTTTTCTGCTCGTGGCTAATGCAGTTGCGAGCGCTGTAAAACCTCTACTAAACTCTCCTGCTGGTGTTGATGCATCTAGAATATTGGGTGTTCGTGGTCATTTGGTACATTAGTAATCATTATGGGGGGGGGGGGGGTGCCTCTCAGGGAATGGGAATATGAGGGTGTCCCCAATGGAAGTCCTGCTTCTTTTTTTTTCTTTTTTTTCAAAAAAATATTTGTCTTGAAGTTAGAATCCTTGGTGTCATTATTATATTCATATTTCTTGTATCCTCATTTTGCTTTTCTTTCTTGTGAAATGTAATTTTTGTTTGTATAGTAAAGTTATTTTCAAGACACTTGGGGGGGGGGGGGGTGTTAAACTCCTCCTGGAATATTTCTACACTAATATTTGATGGTTTCTTTGACTTAGACGGCTTGTATGTGATGATAACATCGACACCTCTTGTCTGAAAATACAATGAGGATTCTTTTTTTAAAATCTGATACGAGCAGAAAGTCGGGTTATCTGTGTACACATAGCGTACATTTTTCACATCTTCTAGAGACACTTAGTTTTCTTCAGCTGGTTTGGTGTATCAGGGATATGTTGTTCGGGGTGTTTTTGGGGCATGTGTTAACGTTATAAAATGGGTTGGGCTAGGGGTAGAGAGATATGGAGAGTTTGTCCCCGACTGTCCTGTTTTCTTTTCTGTCAATGAAAAAAAACCATTGCGTCAACATTTCATTCACATTTTACATTGTCCTGCCTCGCTTTTACTTTCCACCTCGTGATAAGTAGTTGTGGGTGGTTGGCGGGTGGTCTAGTGGTATGGTTTGCTCGTTCTTTCCTTTCAAACATCTATCGTCCTTATCTCCCCTCCTTTTTTGTGTTTGTTACTCTTTTGTAACCCCTGTAATCTTTGGCACTTATATGATTGTATTGTGTTGCAAGTGCCGTAAAACTTACTAAAACCAAAAAGAGTTGTTTCTTTTAGAATGTCCTATGATCTTAGGCTACTCCTGCAATTTTGGGTACACAGTTTTGACTTTGATGGCTTGTATGTGATGATAACATCGACACCTCTTGTCTGAAAATACACTGAGGATTCTCTTTAAAATCTGATAAACGAGCAGAAAGTTGGATTATCTGTGTACACACAGCATACATTTTTCACATCTTCTGAAGACACTGGTTTTCCTTCAGCTGTTTTGATGTGTTGTTCATGGTGTTTTTGGGGCATGTGTTAACATGATGGGTTGGGGTGGGGGTAGAGAGAAATGGAGAGTTTGTCACCAACTGTCCTGCCTTTTTTCTGTAAAAAAACAACAACTAAGGTGTGGACATTTCATTCACATTTTATTTTGTCCTGCCTCGCTTTTACTTTCCACCTGGTGATAGGTAGTTTTGGTTCTCACAGTAGTTGTTGTGGGTGGTTGGTGGATGCTCTGGTGTTGTAGTTTGCTTCTTCTTTCCTATCAAACGTCTATCGTCTTTATCTCCCCTCCTTTTTTGTGTTTGTTACTCTTTTGTAACCCCTCTAATCTTTGGCACTTATATGATTGTATTGTGTTGCAAGTGCCGTAAAACTCTTTCTGAAACTAAAAAGAGTTGTTTCTTTTAGAATGTTCTGACCTTAGGCTACTCCTGCAATTTTGGGTACACGGTTTTGTTTGACTTTGATGGCTTGTATGTGATGATAACATCGACACCTCTTGTCTGAAAATACAATGAGGATTCTTTTTTTAAATCTGATATGAGCGAAAAGTCCTATTGAACTTCTGCATGTGGTTTACATTGATGCCTTTTTCTGTCTTTCTCTCCGTCTGGGTGGGTGGTTGGCGGGTGCTCTGGTGTGGTTTGTTTCTTCTTTCCTGTCAAACGTCTATCGTCTTTATCTCCCTTCCTTCTTTTTTGTGTTTGTTACTCTCTTGTAGCACTTCTAATCTCCTGGCGCTCATATGACCTTATGCAGTTGCGAGCGCCGTAAAACCCCTAATAAAACTAACTTTCTCTATCTGCAAGGATACACGTACATTGAATGTTCATAGTATATGGTTGTTTAGAGCCTGTTTTAACGGGGGGGGGGGGGGGGAGAAGGACCATAAGATCCTATTTGTTTTTGGGTTTTTAAAACTTTTTTCCTTGTGGAGCTGGTTTGCTCCTTCTTTCCTGTCAAACATCTATCGTCCTTATCTCCCCTTCTTCTTTTTTATGTTTGTTACTCTCTTGTAACGCCTCTAATCTTCTGGCGCTCATGAGACCTTATGCAGTTGCGAGCATCGTAAAACCCCTACTAAAACTAACTCTCTCTATCTGCAAGGATACCCGTACATTGAATGTTCATAGTATATGGTTGTTTAGAGCCTGTTTTAACGGGGGGAGGGGGGTGTAAGGGAGAAGGACCATAAGATCCTGTTTGTTTTGGGTTTTTTAAACTTTTTTCCTTGTGGAGCTGAGTATTCTCTGTCCTCACCCATCAGTTCACAGAACGCACACACCAGTGTTCTTTGGTGTAAATTTGTCAACCAGAGAGAGCTCGGGGCGTCGGGTGCATGGTCCCTGTGTTGTTCTCCCTGCTCAACTTTACTTTCCACCACACAAAAGGTTTTGTCCATTTACCGCTGATTCTTTCAAACTAAAATAATATTCTCTATGTTATGATTAAAATACTGGAAACCGTTTCAGAAACTTCTTGACATTCTTTTGCTTGTATATATGATGATAAAATCGACACCTCTTGTCTGAAAACTGCAATGAGGATCCTTTTATACTTCTGAAACAAGCAAAAAGTCTTTATATCTTGTAAATTGCACTCCCCAAAGGAATTCATGAATACTCATTTCGTCTACCCTTTCCTCAAATCAGTGTCTGTGGGAGGTCGGTGGGTGCTCTGGATGTGGTTTGCTCCTTATTTCCTATCAAACACCTGTCGTCCTGATCTCTCCTCCTTCCTTTTTGTGTTTGTTCCTCTCTTGTAACACGGCTAATCTTCGGCACTTATATGACGATGACCTTATGGTGTGACAAGTGCCGTAAAACTCAAACTAAATGTCCTGATCTCTCCATGTTCTTTTTTTATGTTGATTACTCTCTTGTAACACATATAATCTCCGGCACTTGTATGACCTTTTAGTATTGCAAGTGCCATAAAACTCTTACTAAAACTAAACCTAAATCCGTGTCTCTATTGTTCTTTCTCCAGATACCTGGTGACGTTTAGCCCCCTCCACGACAGTCAGGAGGACCCCCAGGCCATCATCATCTGGGACATCCGGTCGGGGGTGAAGAAGAGAGGCTTCCACTGTGAGACACGCAGCACCTGGCCTATATTCAAGTAAGTCTGGGGGAGATTTACCGCTTTTTTGTACACGGCATTACAAACTGAAAGATTTTGTTCGAGTTTTTGAAAATACTATGGGGGTGGGGGGTTCCAATATTATTTTAAGAGCTATTTGTTAACATTTGTCTGATTGGAGTATGCCATCGTAGTAGAGTGAGATTTTTGTGTTGTCATGCCACTTTACCCACATGAAATAAGTGGGTTTTGTTTGTGTTTTTTAAAACTTTTAATGTGGATTTACTATCTATTTTACAACCTTGCCATTGAACTGGATGTGTTTTAAGAGGCTTTTGGGAAGATGATGTCTTTTAAAAAATATGTAGAGTGCTGACGATGAATTATATTTCATTTCAGGTGGAGTGCTGATGGAAACTACTTTGCTAGACTGGGAGAAGATGCAATTAGTATTTATGAAACCCCCGTAAGTACATCATAGAGTGCTATTTTCATGTTATAAATTAGAGAGTAAAAGGAGAAGGCCAAGTGGATTTTTATTTTCAAAACTGTCGAATGTAAGAATGTGACTGAGTCAGTGTTGTTAGTTTTATATTTTGTTCTTATTCTTTTACTTTGAAGCGGTTTGCATAGTCGAGAAAGGGCTCTTGTCTGCACTCGTTTTTTCAGAAATAGCCCGATTTCCTGCTCCGATCTCCGTTCAGTATTAATACTAGTGGGGGCTCTTAGTATGAAAATGTGATTATAGAATGCGTTATATGTTACAATGTTTATTGTATGCAATTATCTTACCAATGTTTTTAACTCAGAAATGAATTTAGATTATATGTTCCTTTCCTCAAGTTAATACCTGGTTTTTGACATGTTTTTTCCTCAGTCATTTGGTCTCCTAGACAAGAAAAGTGTCAAGATTGCAGCGGTCAGGTACGTGTCTTCCCACATCCTCGTATAAGGGGCACGTGATGTTCACACTTACCATCTTTCGGCTGAAAGTTGTGATGTCACTCTTTGTTCTGATGCCCCAGACACAATGATAATTATTTTCTTGTAATGTTTTGTACACATTTTCTGTTGTGATTACTCTTCTGCTTCTGAAATAAAGTAATATTGGTTATTCCGTTTGCCATAGAGTGGATTTATAACTTATTTCAGATTATAAAAATTGAACATTGACTAAAAAATTGGGCAAATTATAACGTTCCTCATTTTTAAAAAAAATTTAATCACTGTAGGCTTCACATTCTTGTTAAAAGTCTGAGAATAAAATGGTAGTCATTTGAGTTTGTCACAATGTCACAGCTTTGATTTGACCAGTTTTGTGTTGTTTTCTTCTCAACAGGGACTTCTCGTGGTCCCCCACGGACAACATGATCGCCTACTGGGTGCCGGAGCAGTCGAACACCCCGGCCCGTGTCACCCTCATCGAGATCCCCAGCAGGAAAGAGCCGGTGGTTCGCAACCTGTTCAACGTTGCCGACTGCAAGATGCACTGGCAGAAGAACGGAGACTACCTCTGCGTCAAGGTTGACCGGTACAAGAAGAAGCTGGATGACAAGGAGCAGCAAGTCAAATACGGTGTACGTTGTGGGGCTTTTATATCTACGCTCTTTGGACTATGGGTTATGATTTTCAGGGACTCCAGTGGTGTTTTTTGGGGTTTTTTTTCCTTCTTTATATTTCTGTTGTTTTCACTTGATAAAGTTATTGTTCAAATTTTGGTTTTTCTGTTTAACCTCAAATTGTATTTATTAACATTGTTTTTGTTTGCAAATGAAACTGTACATTTTCAGATATTTTCATACACATCATCAAACATTTATTTGATCATTTGATTTTGGTGTGCGTTATATGGAAGGTGTTTACTTGTCAGGATAGACATCGTGGTTATTATTAAGTTGGGGCAATTGGCAAAAAAATTTCTTGTTATATTGGATGTGAATGTTAATTTCTTACCAGAAGTGTATTGAGTTGAGGTTTTTTGTTTCTCTTTCTTCAGGGTATTTATTACAACTTTGAGCTGTTCCGCATCCGCGAAAAGCAGATCCCCATTGACAAGGTTGAAGTCAAAGGTATGTATCTAGTGACGTTTCATATTTTCTTAGCCAGATATCAGCACAGGATTGTGAAGCAAAGCATCGATCATAAAAATTGTTTGTTTAATTACAAGTGCAAAAGATGATTAAATGGAGAATTCCTTTTGTTTTGCAGTCACTTAGGTAAAGCTTTTCTATGGAGATTTCTCTGAATTATGACAGTTGACTAGGTACACCTGCGTACACATTCAATTTTATTTCCCAGTATGGTTTAGTTATTCATGTCAATATATCATTGTGGGTGGTTGCCAGGTGCTCTGGTGTGATTTGCTTCTTCTTTCCTATCAAATATCTATCACCCTTATCTCTCCCTTTTAAAAAATTTTTTTTATACCTCTCTGATTTTTGGTACTTATATGACCTTATTGTGTCGCAAGTGCCGTAAGTCGTACTGAAACCTAACAATGTATCTTTCTTTGTCTACAGAGGCAGTCCTTGCCTTTGCGTGGGAGCCAACAGGAAGCAAGTTTGCCTACATTCACGGAGAAGCCCCGAGGATAAACGTGACGTTCTACAACATTCAACCCAAAGGAAAAGTGACTCTCATGAGTAAGTGCTGGGCCTGTGTTCTTGCTCTGGGGCTCGTTGATTGGTTCTTCTTTGTCGGTGCAGATGGGGAAGGGGGGGGGGCTGTGATGTGTCCAGTGTTGTTTTTTTTAACCACTACTGTTTTTGTTCATTTTACTTTTTTCTCGGCACTAATAAACTGTTACTGTGTCAGTATGCTACTCTCTTATTCAAAATAGTTGTGTTATTTGCATGAAAATGTAACTCTAAAAGAGATACGAAAATATTGTTACCTTTTTTGTGAAATATTTTATTTTGTTGGTATTTTACTTTCACATGCAACATTCATTTAAAATTGGGGATGTAAGTGTGCATATCAGTAGTATCTTGACAGTGCAGTCTGTTCTGTTAGGTTTATTAGACTATTATTAGTTTGCGTAGCGTAGCTTCTTCACCGTGTAACTTGTGCCATGTTTTTATTATTCCAGAGACCCTGGAAAAGAGATCTGCCAATCATTTGTTCTGGAGTCCCAACGGACAATTCATTGTGTTGGCCGGACTCAGGAGGTGAGGGTTGTTTTTTTTTGTTCAAGCTAGTACATTGATCCGTTTGATCTTACTTTGCTAGCTAAATCAGTATCATATCACGGTACTGTATGTGTTAGGGGACCTCAATGTTTTATGGAGTGTCGTGCTAGGCAAATCTATAGGTTTTTTTGCCCCTTCATGTGGGTTGAGATGTAATTGTTTTGTCTTGACAACTTGACAAGCTCTGTTTCCCAGTCGATTTTTTTTTTTTAGGGGGGGGGGGTGCTCAAAGTCTTTGTGGAGAGAGGCATACTTGGTAAATTTGATGGATCTTTTCACGCACACATATGTTGTTCTCCCAGCTCAACTTCAGTTTGTGTCCATTTGCTACTAATTCTTTCAAACCTAGAGTGTTCTCTGGTTATGATGAAAATGTTGGAAAGTTTTAGAAAATTCTTGGCTTTTTTTGCTTGTACATATGATGATAACACCGACACCTCTTGTCTGAAAAATGCAATGAGGATTCTTTTATATTTCTGAAACAAGCAAAAAGTCTAAAAATCCATCTACATTGAATGCATATAAAAACTTTTTTTGTCAGTCTTGACAATCGTAATAATGTGTGTTTGTTTTTGTATATTGGTAAATAATTGGGAGTTGATCTTGCAGCATGGTTTGTGGTTTTATTTGTGAGATTGTGACTATATCGTAACATGTGTGTTTATCTGTCAGCATGAACGACATGCTGTGACTTGACTGTAATGTGTGTGTTTTCTCTGTCAGTATGAACGACATGCTGTGACTTGACTATAATCTGGGTGTTTGTATCTGTCAGCATGAACGGCGTGCTGTGACTTGACTGTAATGTGTGTGTGTTTTCTCTGTCAGTATGAACGACGTGCTGTGACTTGACTGTAATGTGTGTGTTTGTATCTGTCAGCATGAACGGAGTGCTGTGACTTGACTATAACTGTGTCTGTTTGTATCTGTCAGTATGAACGGGGTGCTGTGACATGACTATAACTGTGTCTGTTTATCTGTCAGCATGAACGGCGTGCTGTGACTTGACTATAGCTATGTCTGTTTCTATCTGTCAGCATGAACGGCGTACTGGAGTTTGTGGACACCCAGGACATGACAGTGATGTCCCAGACAGAGCACTTCATGGCCACGGACGTCGAGTGGGACCCCACGGGCCGCTACGTCGTCTCTGCCGTCAGCTGGTGGGGCCACAAGGTCAGCACGTCCGTCCTGTCTGCTCGACACTTTTGTTTGTTTTGTTTGGGGGGGGGGGGGGGTGAATTCCTGCTTAACACTTTGCCGCCTCATCTCACCGATTGGTGATGTTTGCCACCCAGTTTCTTTGGATTTTCCCCAAAATGTGATGGCAAAGTGTTAAGCAAGTTATTTTTATCGCTTATTTAGTATCTGTCAGGCAAGATGCTTTTCCAGTCTTTCACTGGAGAATGGGATTAGTTGGATGCCTCTGCTGGGAAGGAAGTTTTATCAAGTATCTGTTCATGGTGTACTGTGTCATGCTCAGCCTGATTTGTTTTTGTGTGTGGCGAGGTACTGTGTACCATTGTATCATGGAAGGGTGGGTTGAGGTAGATGCTTTTGCTGGAAAGTTGTTCTTTTGCTTATCTGTCTGCAGGGATACTGTATCTTGCTCAGCCTGGTTGACCCTTACCAGATGGGAGGGAGAAGTAACTCACCTCATGAGTTGTCTAAATTGTGTTGACAGGGGTGTAAAATAAAACATAGTTGAATCCCTCTGCCGCGAGTAATTTGACAATGTATATTTCCGCCTTAGAAAAGACTCGTTATTCATAAATTGACAGCTGTCGTCTTTGCTCCACAGGTGGACAACGGATACTGGCTCTGGAACTTTCAGGGACTTCTGCAACACAAACAACCGCTGGAGAAGTTTTGCCAGCTGCAGTGGCGGCCCCGCCCGGCATCACTCTTGGGTGAAAACAAGATAAAGGTTCGTAATGTTTGTTTGTGTTAGTAGGAATGTGTGGATTTGTGGATATTTATTCAGTCTAACGCATAAAGGATGCTTTACCAAGTCTTATATATTTCATTAAGAATGTGTGTAATAACTAAGACTTAAAAATTTTGCCTGCTGTATTGGTACTTTGAATGAGTCACTTGAAAAGTCATAGAAATGTGACTAGATAGAAAAGTGGATGTGCAATGTATTCAAGATAATGTGCTGGTAAATGTTACTGCAAGTTTTTTTTCTCCTTATTTTTATTAGTTTCAGAGAAATATTTAATGTGTAATTAAATTTTGTGCTTGTGTGTGTGTGTCTAGGAGATCAAGAAGAACTTCAAGACTTGGGCTCAAAAGTTCGAAACTGAGGACAGCATGAGAAAGATGACAGCTTCCAAGGTGAGCGCAAGGAATTTCATTGTTTATTTGCTGTTTCCTTTTCTGGTGCTGTTTCAGTTGAAATGTTTTAAAATGCAAGAGCAGTGATGTTACATGATACCATCTTTCGGCTGATGCCTTTGATGACAACCTACATGCTGATGCTCTTCTTGCCACATCGTCTTTTATTGCTAGTTTAGTGTGTCGGGCTCTGAGTTTGGGTTCATTATTTGGTCATGGGAACCCGTTGGTTGTTCCTATTTCTTCATTCCCCCTGCGTTTTCTGTTCGTCTAATTTGCTTTTTACTTGCACCAAATATACTTATGTGGTTTCTTTCCTCGAGTTAAATTGACTTGACCATTGGAGGGCACCCCTGATAGGTCGCACCTCTCCTCTTTTTGTTCTTTGTGTCTATTTGTTTTTCTTTACTCAAGTCTATCAAAAGAACTGGCTGTGTTGAAGTTTTTGTTAATATAGTTCTTTAATGTTAGCTATGCTAGGCTCAGTTCTATGTAAACATTGTTTATTTGCTCTGATAAAGGCACTGAGTACTTTCTCCTAGAAATATGTGTTGCAGTGATGTGTGCTGTGTTGTATAATGTGTTAAACTGACGTGTGCCGTGTTCTATAATGTAAATGTCATGTTTCTGCAGGACATGTTGGAGAAGAGACGAAAGTTGATGGACGACTACAGGGAGTATCGTGCCCGAAAGGAAGAAGAGTTTGCCGAAAGGAAGGATATTCGTCTGGAGCTCCGTGGAGGTGAGTTGTTTGTGTTCACTCCCAGAATTTGTTTTGTTTTGTTTTTTAAATGTTAGGTATACGTGGAATTGTCAACTGCAGAGATGAAACCATGACCCACTGCAGTTTCCAGCATTTTGATGCTTAAACAGACTTACTTTTTTAAACCAATAAAATTTCACAGCTGATCCTTGTGGTGCAGCAACCATTCGAGGCGCGAAGCGAAATGTCGTTTCATTTTTATTGATGCACCATTCACATACCACTAAGGTGCTGGTCAACGTCCTAGCCTTTTGTACAACATTATCGTATTGACCTTGTCCATCTGGTTGGGAGAGCAGTGATGTTACATGATACCATCTTTCGGCTGATGCCTTTGATGACAACCTACATGCTGATGCTCTTCTCAGATTTGTTGGAAACTTTTTCAAAAAGCAGTGACATTAGCATTATTTTATGCGTCGCTGCACTCTCTTATTGCAACATTTGTATTTTGACAAGTTAACAAAGCTTTCCTCGTAAGACTGGTGATATACTTAATGGTCAGATTTTTCTTGCTAATATGTTTGTTCAAGCCAGTTGCTGAAAAATCATCAAATGTTTCTATACAGGGAGGTTAAATCTGTAGCTTACCTCAATGACACTGGGACATGTGCTTTTGCATTTTATTTTTTTTTAAACTATTGCTCATGAACGCAAAATTTTGGCTGTCCATACTAGTTTTGATTATTCAGGGCTTTGCTTT